ATGCCAGAGTTCCTGAGCCAACATGACTGGAGGAGGAATTCTGGGAGTTGAAGTCCACAAGTCTTAAAGCTATCAAGTTTGAACACCCCTGGGGTATTTTTTCTAAAGGGTTAGGGGTGCAAAGGTCTTGTAACTTGACAGCTTTCAGAGTTGCGTGCTTCAAATGCCAGAGTTTCTGAGCCAACATTTTGGTTGCTAAGCTAGAGCGTTGTTAAGTGAGTTTCACCACATTTTACAAGTTGACCACGCCCACCCATTCACATGGCTGCCAAGCCACTCCCACCAGGTCACATGGCCAGCAAGCCACTCCCACAAAGCAGGCCACACCTACAGAAGGGGTGCTAAAAAGATTTGAGACCCACCACTGAAGTGATTGCTTTATATGCCAAATCAGCCGAAAGGTGCTTTCGCAAGAGGTTTCTGGTTTTTCTTTGAAAACATTTCGCTTCTCATCCAAGACGCTTCTTCTTCAGCAGAGTTCTTTCAGCAGAGCTGGAGAAGCTTCTTGGATGAGAAGTGAAACGTCCTCAAAGAAAAAAAACAAGAAAGTCCAGCTGCCTTTTGGAAAAGCATCTTTGGGACCACCATGATACCAAACTTTGAGGCTTTGTGGACTTGGAAGTTCAGGTGGTCCTCAATTTACAATCGTTTCTTTAACAACCCTTCAAAGTTATAACTGCACTGAAAAAAAAATGACTTACAACTGGTCCTCACACTTACGACTATCACAGCATCCACACGGTGATGTAATCAAAATCTGGCCACTGGGGAAAACCGGCATTCATTTACAACAGTGGTGGCCACAATCCTGTGGCTGTGTGATTTTGCCATTTGCCACCTTCCCAGCCAGCCTTTGGCAAGCCAATTCCAAGGGGGGGGGAGCCAGGTTTCCTTAAGGGCTGAAGAGTTCACTTAGCAACTTCAGTGATTCATTTAACAAGCATGGCAAAGATGTAAAGCTGAGCCTCGTTTAACAGTCACTCTTTATTACTAAAAATTCTGGTGCCAGTTGCGGTTGTATGTCAAGGACTCCCTCTATCAGTGTTCTGTCCCATCATTCTAATGAATAGGCAGACATAGGCTTGGCTGTCTGCCAGGACTAATGATGGAGATAAAGCCACCGCTTGACTTGGAGCCTAGAACGCTCTCTTCAAGAAACCAAGATTAGACTTGCGGAAGGCTTTCTCAACGGCTGGTAAAGTGGACTGTTGTTTCCTGCAAAGATTCCCCTCCTGTCGCTCCACCTATAAGCTCTTTGGGAGAGGCCACAACAGTAGCCACCTGTCCCTATTTCCTTCTATGACGTCTTCTCCACAGATGCTCCCTTCTCTTCTCAGCTCTACACACACCCATATCAGGGACAACCTCCCCCCGTTCCTCCTCACGGCTCCCTGACTCAGGTGCCACTTGGTGGCCAACAGGCCTCTCTAGTCCCTGCTCTTACTCCAAACACCCTCCAGAGTCTTCCTCATCCTCCAGAGCAGCCCCATAAGGGTCATCGCTCTCAGAGTCCACCAACAGCTCAGCCGGCCGCTGCTGGGCTACAACAATCAGTCTACAAATTATATAGGAGAGAGGATGGCATGAAACCTATGGGAAATAAGGTTTTTCAGATTGGGAGAATCTGTGTACGTGTGTGTTTTTGTGCATGTGTGCATTTATTATTCAGATTCATGCAGTCATTTCATATATATGCAGTCATTTCATATATATATATAAACGGATAAGAGCCTGTGGCCTAATGCCTAAGATCTCTGCCTAGTATGCCTAGTGTGCAATACAGCCCAGGTTCAAATCCCAGTAAGGGTATGGCTAGCTGATGAGAGCTAAATAGCTTGAAATAGATCTATACTAGTCTCNTCTTTCTTTCTTTCTCCTTCCTTTCCTTTCCTCTTTTCTTCTGCTTTTTCCTTTCCTACTTTTTATTAGTTTACATTCATTTTTTCTATGTTTTGTAATAACCCTTAATAAAAATTACATTTTAAAATGGGATGCATGTAATTCGGTGTGTAATTGCTGTGTTCAGCCAATGCTCTTTTGACTGTTATCTCTATTGACTTACAGCAACTGTTAAACTGTACAGTGCAAGAGAAGAGATGAGATCTGAAAATGAATATCCTGAAGATCAAGAGAGCCTTGTTTGAGGGTTGCATGGAATTAATGAATAGGGAAATTTTTCAGAGTATTGGGCAGCATGTGGCCTATCGTAAAGAATTAACGATTGTCAAGGCGACTGAAAATGTGAGTAATTGATGTTTGTTTAAAGAAGCTGAGATGGCTGGATATAAAAAGGACACTTCTGCCTGCTTTGTTATGCGTAAATGAAAATTGAACTTGACAGGAGAAAGTAATTTGAATGTGATGGGGAAAGGGAGTGTTACGAAACGTGCTTAATAGAACGAGAAGAGAAAGGCTCAAAAATGAATGACTGCTGAAAGAATGCGGATTCATACAAAAGCAAGGATGAAAGAGGAACATTGATGTGGTTCAGTCACATAGAGAAAGCAAATAGAGAATTAAAACACAGAACAAACAGGTAAAAAATAGCCAATGGGTTGCAAGGAAGGGGATGAGAAACATGATGGAGAAAGAGGTTGGTGAAATCCTCAAAAAGAATGAGATGAAAAATTTAAAGAAAATAAAAAAAGCAATGCATGAATCAGTGTTCAGTAGAAGCAAAGATAATTGGCAAGGATGGAAAGATATGGCAAATGAGGCTGATGAAAAGTAGTTTTAACTATGTTTTCTTCTTCGTCGTTTCATTTGTCCCTGTAATTTCTTTGGCTTGCTGTTCCTTAATTCTTTTCAGCCACTTTACACAATGCTGCTTACCACAAGAGACAGGTATGGTCTTTTAATTTCTTTAGAGTCGCTCTCTTGTAAAATGGTCAGCATATCAATTTATTAATTTATAGGCTTTCTAATCTGCCTCGAGGGGAGTGTAAAATCAACATAAAATGGCCCTATACCTAATTTCAGGACTAATGGTTGGAGATTTCAGAAAAATGCCCCTGGGACTATCTACAGCCAATCCACATATCCATAGGTGACAGTTAACTGTAAGAACCTTAAAAGAAGAGACCAGATTACCTCATAAATTGCCTGTCCCCTATTTCTCGCCACATCTTCTCCAGGAAGTGTACGGAGGCCTCCTGGGCCAGCCTAGCTGCCTTCTGGTGCAGGTAATGGTGAGGTGAGAAGAACTTGGAGGCGCTGTCCTTATTGATGCCGCCTCGAGGTTCTTGATGGCGGCTCTCATCAAACCTCCCGCCATGACTGCACTTCCCTGAGGAGAAAGGAAGGAGGAAAAAGACTGTCAGCCTAGCATCTTCAACTGCAAAGGTGGAGACGGGTAGAATAATACCATTTGGAGAAGGATGGAATAATACCATCATCATCATCATCATCGTCATCATCATCTCCATTTAATGACCTCATTATCCCTTGCGGGGTGGAGTCTAGGCAACTGAATGGAGCTGTGTGTTTACTGGCCGGATGCCCTTCCTGTTGCCAATGCGGTGTTATATTCAGCAGATATGGAATAACACTATTCCTGTAGAAAACTCTGCTTCTTATTCAACCATTTATATGGGTTTTTTAATATGCTTTTTTTTAAAACCTCTTAGACTTCCTACTAGAATGAGCTGTGTCATAATATCTTTATGGAGGTCTGTTAGCTACAGGTATTCTCTGCTATATAATTTCATCCAGCTTGACCAACCCTTGTTAACAATTCTGCATAAAGGTGCATATGGGAGAGCACCTTTTGCACTCTTGTTTTGTGCAAAAAAAATAATTATTGCATTAAAAAAAGAGATCAGAGAATTTTTCCCAGGATGGACTGATAAAGGAACTGATTTATTTATGGAGCAATCCAGAAAGCTCTTTTGCTAGAGGCTTCCGTTATTCTATTTTTTTTCCTTCTTCCTCTGTCAGAGAAACAATAATGGATGGCTCCAGACTAAGCTTCAGAGGACAAAAAAAAACCCTCTACAAATCCTGAAGCAGAAAAGATTCATTCATTTCCCCATCAATTAACTATGAAAAGGCTCAAAAATTCTCCACAGTTCCTCCCCCCTCCCCCCCTCTCTCACACACACATACAGAGGACACAAAATACTATAAATAAAACAGGCAGCTGATGGAGAGAACATCTCAAAGAAACACATTTGGGAGAAAAAAAGTTTTTGGAAGCTGTGCCAAAACTCATTCCCCCCTCTTTATAGATTTTAGCATCAACTCTCTAAGGATGCAAGAAGAATACAAATGAGGCTTTCGGCTTTGATAGTATTAAGGGGAAGGGGGGGGGATCTCCTTGGCTTTCAAACAGAGCCTTTCCCACCCACCCCTCTGTTGGCCACAAAAACATACCAATAGGCTTTTCGGGACGGGAGCCATAGTAACCCGTGGTGAGAACAGCGAGCTTGTCCAAGAGATTTCCTTTGCAGGTCCATTCAGAGCAGTCTTGGCAAGTCCGGAGGCCAGCTGAGAAGGCACAAGAGAAATACTGTGGAGTAAAAAAAGGGGGGTAGGAAAAAAGGCAGTGGAGGTGGGGGGTCCGGAGACCCTCCTCGGTCTCAGGCAAAATGGACTGATGAACGCAGGTTCCATTTTTCCCTCTCTTTGACTTGGCAAAATCTTGCAATAGCAATATAGACATACATAGCACTCCATAAGTCTTTACAGCACTCTCTGGGTGGTTTACAATGTAGAAGCATTATTTGCATATTCCCCCCCCCCAAAAAACTTGGGTCCTCAGTGTACCAACCATGGAAGGATGGGAGGCTGAATAGAACTGGAAGGGACCTTGGATATCTTCTAATCTAACCCTTCCTTAGGCAGGAAACTCTACACCTCTTCAGACAAACAGTTATCCAACATCTTCTTAAAAACTTCCAGTGCTGGAGCATTCACAACTTCTGGAGGCAAGCTGTTCCACTGATTAATTGTTCTGAGTTAACCTTGAGCTTCGTGTCAGGATTGAACTCCAGGCTGTGGCCAGAGGTTGCTTGCAATACTGCACCTCAATTACTGCATCACCAGGCCTCTTTGTGCTGAGACTTTCCCCATGCCAATTTCACAACCCTTTTTTGCCACATTGGTTAAGCGAATCATTGCAGTTGTTAAGTGAAGCATGTAGTTGTTAAGTGAAGCATG